GTGGTTAGCAAGACAGTTGCTAGCACGCGTCAGAACCGAAAGTGTGCACGTGTGTTATATTCGAGGTTAACAGAATTGGTTATTGATAAATTTAAACAACACACAAGTAGGGCCAAGAGCCCACAGAATTAAGACTGAATCCTGTGGAGTACCACTTTTTACTGGTGCTCACTCGGATGCTGTGATCCCAAAAAGTACTCTTCGCAGCCTACATGACAGGAAGCGTTTTATCCACTTAAAAACATTTCTGTCAATGCCACAGTGCCAAATCTGAAGTTATAGTTACAGATGACGTACGCAATGAAACAGCTTATTGAATTCGAAGGTGTCATCTATTGAACGACCTAGGCATTTGGCTGTCTTCGCTATTTGCGTCAATTTTTTTGTATTAGAGCCCTTTGAGTACTTAGGAAGTAGAATATACTTTACATTTGGCTGATTAGTAACGAACGCTTTTTCTGAGCGTTGCCTATCGATTCAACGACGCTTTGCTTTTTGGCGTATAAAATGATTTGGGCTGCAGTTAGGTTTACGTTGGTTTTGCGGTAAGCGCACTTAGCAACCTCAGGAAAACCAGGCTGTAATAGTTAGTAGTACTTCAGCATGACAGTTAATATAAACGTTTTATGTTCTGTTAGATTCACTATCGCGTTACCTTTGCATCTTTGTTGTACAAACCAATTAATTAACTTAAGTTGGTTTGTTATCAATTTGCCCTTCTGTTTTGTATACATATACACAATATAGTGCACAGTACTAGCCAGAAACATTGGCCTCATGGCACGAGAGTTGGCAAGAATATTTACTCTCGAGGTACTCTAGGAAATTGCTATCAGGGGGGCAATTGTTAGTGGTCGATTCGTTAACCAGTTAGACGTCTAACCCCTGCTGTTGTACGATGCATGCACGTATATTAGCGGAAATTGTTCTGATGTTTTCATATTCACTTATGAGCATGGAAGAGAGAAAGAAGGTTGACATCCCGTCAAGTGCTTTACTTTAATTACCGAATATAATCGGCGACGCGTCAACTAATTGACGAAAAGGATCACGTTTACACGACCAGCATGCCTAGAATGTACTCAGTATAGTACAGTTCAATCTAAATTTAACTAGTTTACACAGTAGAGGAATTGAAGCGAAAATTTGACCGTCACAAACTTCATACACTGTTGACCTTTTGAATGGCCATTTAGTCTTCGATTTTAAATAGAACTGCCGCTTTAGCGATTCGTCGTCTATAATTTCGTGGCGGATTAACCAGACACTATTTATGCAACAAATGTGTTTTGAATAGTTAACTTGCAGCCCTAACTGTTACTTTACCAATATCGCTGTAAATATTGATTGATTAGTCCTGGCCCAGTTCCATCCGTCCCATCCGTTTATATTGCAATTCAAACTGTCGAGTAGTACGCAAGATTTAGCTGGATTTGTAAACCATCATCTGTTACCGGTCATGTGATTTAGCTGGATTTGTAAACCATCATCTGTTGCCGGTCATGTGATTAATAAATCAAAGTGTTTGCTTTTGGGCTTCGAAGATCAATATAGACCGTCCGTTTCCAATACATACTTCCAACATCACCGTTAACATTTCCCAAGCTGGAATTCCAGTGGTGGTCGTGCGGATAGCGAGGTTGTCAACATTCTAATCAATTAAGTATTTCGTAGCTGGGTGTGATACTTATTACCCCATATAGTATCTAACACACATCGAGGTACAATATACGTTCATACTCGAAATGCCCCATACGACAGCCTGTGGTTTCCAAAGTTGTGAGACCAATGCTACCGACTTACTGAGATCAAAACGTCATTCAGGGTCTTCAGCCCGCATTATCGAGTAAAGTATCACCATAGCCTTGTCGTCTAAGCCATCAGTGCATGAGGCAACTTGGTACTCTAAAGCATGAATCATCTTTGCGACTTAGTAGTTGTGTACCTACAACTCGAACTGGAGACCTTGAACGATAATCTGCTCTGCTAACGCATTAAACCGACGGCTAACTGGCATGACGAAAACCACAAGAACTTCACAGCAGAAATGGAGATTTCCATGGAGCCAACTGGAAGCG